AATATCATTGAAAACTATCTAGTAATTCTATAATTAATTGCCATTATTTTTTTACACCTGTGTGTTCTATACCTCTAGAACAGAAAATCAATTTTAAAATAACTCTGTACAAAGAAACTTACAGTTGCCAGAAGAATGGTCAATTTCCAAACACCACTCCATGTCGAATCCTTCACTCAAAAAGACGTATCATTATCCTTTCATACAGTGACCATTGCAAATTCCACACAACTGAACAAACACAACCACTTCAGAGTCAGTTGTCCACACAAATTATTATGACCAAATATTAAGACATTGTATTTTCATCTTTTAAAACTAGTAGCAAGACAACTTACAAAACTGACTTGATAGGCAATAGTTGTTGGTCATTTTGTCAACTCATTTTGACAATTCATCATTTGTTGAGAGAGAGAGAGAGAGAGAGAGAGAGAGAGAGAGAGCACAGAAATCCTAAATCACAAGATATACATGGTCAGTTTTTTATGCATTAGATATTTATTTTTGATGAGTGTGTGTGTGTACATGTATTTGTGTAAGTGCATGCATGTATGTTGGAATACATGTGTGCGCGGGTGATGACATATGAGTGTGTGTGCATGTGTTAGGAAGATAACGAGACAAGACTACCTACATCGGAAATATTGCAAAGTTCATCCTAATCATTATTTGAGATAACTTAAGTGATTCATCATAATCTAAAACATTGAATACGATAAGAAACCAACATTGATTTATGAGTAGCATTAGACAAAATCTTCAACAAATAATCCACATCAATGTATAATTATTTTTGAGTGACCAGTAATAAAAATTACCTTCAACTTCAGAGACACTAATTTTTTTCCCTTTTCCCCCCATTCTTTTTCATGCTGGTCACTTAATGATTTTTACCTATCTTATCTTTGAACAAAAATCAAGGCAATAGGAACTGTCACAGCAAGAACCCAGCCAGATGCTCGGTCATTTTTTCCCTCCTTATCACTCTCTGCCTGGCCGCATATTAAAAAACCCCGGTCACCAAGTGCACTGGTCACCTTCTGATGACCACGCAGTTCTTTTAGTGCAAGGAAATTGACTACGGGTCAAAATTAATTATGTCCTTAATTACATTAATCACCTTTTCTGATGACCCAGTAGATGACCAGCGCATTGAATATGGGAAAAAACATGCTATCAGATAATTGAAATATGTGGCGACCATCTTAGGGCTCTAGGGAGTCAGCTTTGCCATGCCAAGTCAATACTAGAATGAGGGAGGTCAGTAGTTATTTTACTACAGATGAAATGAGAACTTGATATAAGAAAGAGATTTGGTTTTTCATTCTTTCATTTCACTATCATCAAATTGCAATACATGTATTTTATCTTATTACCAAATACATAATTGGGATTATGAAATGGTTTTATCATTGACAGAAAAAAGAAAGCTCAAGAAGATAATAAAGCAGTCACTCAGTTAGCCTTTCTAAATCTTGACCTCTGTGTGTATTCCCTTTGCATTTTAAGTGAAGTGTCCAATGTCCAAATGTGATAACAATAGAAAATATCATAAAAATTACGATAAAACAAAATTATGAAAGTACACATAAATTATTAACTTATATTTTGCTCTTTCAATATTTCTTTCTTAGTTTCAGATAAGTGCACAGTGGCAATGTATAAGGTATGGTGTAAATCTAAACATGATAACCAAGGACGACAAATCTGTGTTAGTTTTGAAAGCTGCATCCGCTGATATAAGAATAAATCATGATGTTTTTATGACTAAAGATGATGTGGCATTTAAGTCCAGCATATTAAGTGAAAAACTAGATAATGTGGTGACTGAATCATTGATAGAATGGATGTGTAAGTTTATGGAAAGCATCTGGACATTATCTTTTTACATCCATTTTAAGCAACATATATATCTTTTTTCATCCATTTTAAGCAACACACACACACACACACACACACACACACACACACACACACACACACAACAGCAGCAACCCCCCCCCCCTCTTTCTCTCTCTCTCCCTGTCTCTTTCTCTCTCTCACTCAGTTCTCTAGTTTCTAACAAATTAGTCATGGTGTACACAGCATTTCTAAAAAGCAGAGGTTTAAAAACGCACAATCCTGGCATGCATCTTCGACTTAGCAACAAAAAAACGGGTATATTAATTGCACTCAAGAGCACTCGAAATGCACGGATCAAGTAAACTGGAATACAATGACTTCTTGCACAGCATGTATGTATTGTTTTCAAATCTTTCTCAATCCATGTCCTACTTACCCTCTATCACATAAAAGTATCTTCTTGGAGAATATCTATCAAACGCAGACTCCATTTTTTAAATCTATATAAAACCAACATTCATGCGTAGATATATTTTCTTCAATTTTTTTCTCCCAAAATTCACTGTATATACTTTGTTTCCAAGGTATAATATATACCGCATTCCCACCACCTGTTATGTGTAGTAGAAACCTTATCTGAGATTAAATGACCTTAAAACTCTTTTCAAGCCTTGCCATAATATGCCTGGATTTTTTAAAAACCTGGTATATTATGCACAAAGAGGTGTACTTGAGTGTGAGTGTATTCACTGGCGCTAAACTAGTGCTAAAAGGCCAATGGAACGCAAATAAAAAACAACAACAACACAAATACTGCATTCAGATCAGTGTCACCCGTGTCGTCCCCTGAATGCAGCGTAGTACGCAGTACTCTGGTCGTACAAACACAATGGCCATGGTAGTACACTGCAGACAATGGGGGGGAAATGACCTTCCTTAACTTACTGAAGTCCCTGCCAAAATCTGTTTCTTTTCACATAACATCCAACTCGATGAACTGCAAAAATGCTCTTTATTATGAGGGGTAAAGCCATTCCCTCTCAGTCCCTGTATGACTCAATGTTGGGTAACTGCTTTGTCCTCCAAAATGCAAACAGTTATACCCTATTCCTTACAGTTGATTATGCCCTATCAATAAGTATCATGCAAAAATTGATAATCCAAACAAGTGATAAAAGCTGCCCAAATTACAAAGTAAACAGAAGGGTTCCCGGGCTCAGAAAGATATCTTTTTAACTGGTCTTAAACAGCTGGAGCCGGGGACTTGTACATTGTTCGCAGCCCTGGGGGCTCATTAGGTGCAAAATGCTTGATCTGACTGTGATTTCTTCCAATGAAAAATAGGCGTATTAATAGTCTCATTTTTGCTATAAGCATGTACGCTGAATGTGTTATAATAACATCTTTTTCCATCTTCTTTATTATCACGTGCGGTGTCTGTTGAACTTTTATGATCCTTATTATTTACAGGTGTTGCAAACATTTTCAGGAATTTTTTTTTTACTTTCTTGTTCAAAAGGCAGAACATACTGTCAGCTTCATTCTCGTCTCTGTTCATCAAGTAAATATGTCACTTGCTTTCTGTATGTGCTAAACAATCTTAGTGTATTTCAGCCTTTAATTTGAAAAAAATCTACCTTTAGAACATTGTATTTTTAGAGGTATTACATATTTTCAATTGGGACTATAATATAACTTCTTTCTACATGATATGAACTGAAATTTGGTAGAAGGAATGAGTCAAACAGGATTTTGGGTCAATAAATGTGCCGTAGCACTCGCCAGCACAGACATGCTATAAAATCTCTCTGCCACCACCCGCACACACATGCTATAGAATCCATCTGCCACTGCCCGCACACATGCTATAGAGTCTCTCTGCTGTCCTCAACACATGCTAATTTAAACTTAGTCTACAAAATTGGCCAAATTTCTGAAAATATGTATTCAGCAACCATTAACTGTGATCTATTCAAATGCTCTGATGATCTTAGCAAAATTAACTTGTCTGAATATTTCAATTAGTTACTGTCATTATCACCATTTTTTTCCATTCAAAATTCAAACTTAGTTTCAGTTGTAAAAAAAAAGGGGGGGGAATATATATATATATATATATATATATAGAGAGAGAGAGAGAGAGAGAGAGAGAGAGAGAGAGAGAGAGAGAGAGAGAGGGGCAAAGGCTGATTTTGTTAGGAAGTAAAAGCTGTCATAGCTTCATAAAACTGCTGACATTTTAAAATAATATAACATCAATCCACGTTGCAGTGGCATTGGCAGAAAAACCAGATATATATATCTGCCAAGCATAGGATACAGTGCACTTCCAGAAATTTTTGTGACAGTCCAATAAATTATAAATTATAAAGTTCTGGTGCTTCATAAAACCCAAGTTTTGAACTTCTGATTTCATCAAAGTTTCTATAAAAAATTCTATCAACAAATTTCAATCAGATAAATCAAAATACAATTGTAGATCTAGACTAAGAGGAATAATGCAGACCTTGCTAAATCTACAAATGAATGTAGAATTGGAAAAATATGTCTGCAAGTCAAGAATAGATTCTTCACTTTGTAACTTTGAATTCATTTTCATTCATTACAAAGGTAACAAACTCACAACACCTCACACAATGTAGCATCACTTCATCTTGTAAGACTGGGACTAAAATATATTCCTCAAATAGCCACCTGTATGACAGATTTCACGCCAAATCTGTTCAGCAATGAAATATTATATAAGACAATGAATTATAAATAAAACAATACATCTACACAATTCTGAAAGAAATAGAAATTGCATACAATACATGTGTATAACAATAGGTATTCTATGCAGTCATTTTTTACCACAGTAAGAAAAGGTCACATAATACATAAGAATACATTAAAACATGCGCAAGCCCATACACATATATTATATACCATCTTTAATTGATACATTACACAATTTTTACAAAATAAAAATAAAATTGACAAGCTTATAAATAAATAAATAAATAAATAAATAAATAAATAAATAAAAGAAGTCACTTTAATTTGACAAAGCGCATGCAGTTCTGGTTAGGGATAACACACTTCAAGAGTTTTATTCATTTAATAATGTGAATTCTAATACAGAAGTCAGAAAATATACTGGCAACAAATTAACTCACCTTCTGTTTGGTTTTTCTGATTATGACCCTGTCCTTTGATTAAATCTATAAAAAACAAAAAATAAAAACATTAAGAACATTAAAACCCTACAAGATACCTTTATTGGTATTGTCAAGTATTTTTACTGACACTAAACAGTTAAAAATTCTAATTTCTTCAATACATAATTATATGTTCAATAAAATTAATTAAAAACATATATGTATATTCCATGGGTTCTTAATACAAGGTGGTTAGTAATATGAAAGATCAATCTAAACAAATAGTTCAAATTCAGCAAATATATTTCACAGTGTTCACAATTTCAAATAAATAAAACTATTTAGGTATACAAAGGCTGTGTATATTAAACAGATACCCATTTCCCAACACACACAATAGCTATTCTTCTCTTCAAGGAAAGTAACATTCCCTTCGATACTTGTAACAATCTTCCCTCCGGCAGAGGGTTCTTCTTATCAGACCATAGTCTCCATGTTATCAAAGAAACAACAGATCGGTACATTTGTTTTTTTGTCCAACACGCTGGGAGAAGGTGTCATTGGCCAAAAGTTTATCATGCTTTGGTTTTACAACAACTACTTGGCAGATGATATTCTTCTGACCAAGCAGGCGCTATCACCAAGACCTTTTCTCAGTTCTACTTCCTGTATTTTTTTCGTACCCCCACTGAATAAATTCACTTCCTTTTCAATTAATACTTTGACTTTTTTTCCTAATTCTTGTTCTTGGGTTATCGATTGCTGTACTTCAGAAGTAAATGCTGATATCTAACACAAACTTCCGTCACTTACAAATGAACTATTTTTCAATTTAAAATGATTTCAATTCCTTTTACATCAGTTTTGGTTTAAAGTCACTCACCATATTCAACCACTTACATTATTTTTCATAAAAGTAATTTTACCAAAATATAAAAAAATACCAATAATAAGGCACGGTCTGCAAATCAAATATTTTTGAATACAATTAGAATTTTTTGTATAAAACTATAGTTTAGTGAAGCACATTGTTGCATAATTATTATCACTTGATGTGATCATTAGAAAAATTACAAGATTAGTTTCTCCATGGAGAAAAAAAAAAGTTTCATATTATGAGAAAGGTCAGATGCACTCATTAATACTACGCGGTGTCGATCGATGCATTTATGTCCAAAATAGCTCTCCTGAATAATGATGGCACTGGCTTTTTTATATAACAATGCCATACAAAATTGGGCAGCTTTCACTTTAAAATAGTGACTTTTGGGACAGTAATAAGATAACATATCTAACTTTAATTAAGTTAATTGTCATGTGCTGAGAGAGAGAGAGAGAGAGAGAGAGAGGGAGAGAGAGAGGCAGAACCATGGGAAATTTTAGCACCATACAATGTCATCTTCTATTCTGCAGTGATAATAATTAACTGTAGTCAGACCTATCATCATTAACATTCTTAATAAGGAATTATATAGCAATGGGTAAGCAATATTTCCAATTATTATAACATTTCATAGCTCCAACCTTAATAAAACCAAACTGATTAAAATCTGTTGAAACAAATCCTACATATATATGTATTTATATATATATATATGTATTTGAAAGACTGAATCAGATAATAATTATCATGATAATGCAATGATGTTATCTATGAACAAAGCAAATAAAGTAATGAATATGTAGGGATAAAAATGAAAAAATCTGACATAATCTAGTGGTTCGATCATTACCTAAGTCTACTGTTCAGTACCGTTCAAGCATTGGGAGTATAGAAGCATTATTGAAATAAGCAACTGTTCTTTGTACGGCTATTACTTGAAAATTTCACACACCAAACTTTTTCCATTATAACTTATCATTTAATCATTAGTTAACATTTATCGCTACTCACAAAAATGCATATTGGGATATGAAACAAACTCATTTGTCAAAACGTCTTAATCAACATTTCTATGTTTTATTAATAATGGGTATTTATGAAGAATATCATCAATTAATTCTGTTCACAGTTAGTGAGTAATTATCGTATACTAACAAGCTGCTGACACCTCAATCAAAAGAGATGCCACTTATATCATATTGATTGTGAGCCTGTTATCTGAAAACTGAAGCCCTTCTTTCACATATTGTTATCTCCCCGTAAGGACAAGGGAAGTTCATATAGTGTAAAACTGCGGAGGCGTTATCTGTGGATCAAACTGCAATCATCAATTAATTTCCTGTAATTTGTTTACTATATCTGACAATCTCCCCCCCCCCCTCTCTCCATCAAACACTCTTCCACCCCTTTTCTAATTCACTCTCTCCTTTACTCTCTCTCTCATGCAATT